AGTTTATTAAATAACACCAGCAACCAACATATTACATCCGATGCTTGCATCTATCAAATATCATGCAACAAATGTGACTTAAAATATGTGGGTGAAACATGTAGGTCCGTAAAATCTCGTGTTTTCGAACATAAACGAGATATTCGCCTCGGTAATTTAAACAATGCTTTAGCTGTACACCCAACTAAAGCAGATCATAATTTCGATTTTGATTCTGTGAAGATTTTAAAATATATTCATAATAAAAATCTTAGACGGATTTATAAAGCAGGCATAATATCTATCTCACGCACGGTGAACACTAGACCTGGCTTCTTTAGTATTTCCCCTTTTCTAGCAAGATTAATGCTCGACAAACGTACATATAAGTTTTAGATTAAAATAAAATTCTTTTCATTTTTCATTCAAAATACTCTATTTTAGGAATACGTTTTCACAACATCGCCCACATGACGACGACGTGATCATATTTAAACGGAACGCTGATCTTGAAAAATTTCAGTTATCTGTTTGGATTGGTCTTGCTCTTATGTCCATCGTCTTTTCATGTTGAATTGAATATAGTCTAATGTTAATTATGTTTTATGAATATGTCCTGAAGATGGTCTACTAGACCGAAACGTCCGACGTTGACATTATATTAACATTAAAACAGCATAATTGCATATTAGGATTTTTGTCTGTTTTTTCCGTATATTTTTTTTCATACTGTCGGATCTATATCCATATATTTGCTTACATACATAATATATATATATATATATATATATATATATATATATATATATATATATATATATATATATATATATATATATATATATATATATATATATATATCAGAGTAAAATTCAAACATATAAAGATATTCTGAACATAGAAAGAAAGAGATGAAATTTATATATATAAAATAGAGCTATATTATAAATATATGTATATATATATATATAATATATATATATATTATATATATATATATACATGTGTGTATATATATGTCTGATATATCTGAATTAGATTTCAACATATGAATAAAGAAAGATAAATAGATAGATAGATGCGAACTGACTGAGACAGACAGACAGATAGATAGATAGATAGATATTAACAGATTGAGACAGACATCAACAGACTGAGATAGATGAGAACAAATAGATCAATGGGATAGATAGATAGATAGATAGATAGATAGATAGATGACGAAAGCGGGAAAAGTCGCCTCAAAATGGCTATGGGTGATATGCTGTCTTTCACAAGAAAGAAAAAAAAATGTAGTTCAAAGTCAAGTCGATATTCAACAACCTCCGAGGAATATCCAAGATGCAACGTGACCGAGGAATTTTAATACAGCAGGATACAGTAAAGAGAAACCCCGATAAACGAAAAGAAAGATCTCCGAGGCACATGAAAAATACTTTCATATGACAGAGTTAATTCAGAATTACGTTCTCCGGGGCGGGTAACAGGATGAGGCATTTGTGAAGTCGTGGCTTGTGTTTCCGTAACCTTAATCTGCTCTCCCAGTCATGAATTTTACCAATGTGCTAAAGAAGTGTTTCTTAGGGACGGTATTTTTCCTTTTCTTTTTCGTTTAGGACTTTCTCTCATTTAATATACGGCAGCTTGACAACTGATTCAATAAAATTGATATTGAATTATATGCTCAGTTAATTGCCAAATTTTAGTTGGTATTTTGTTCAATTTTTCTTCAGATTCGGGCTGTTTGTTGGAGCTCACGAATGGATTTGACTTTTCAAATAACGCCGCAGATTCTCGATTGGGTTTAAACAGAAGAAAAATTGATTTTTATAGAAATAAATCCCATTTACCCATTTTAATGGGTGAAAGAATTATTCGTACACTACAAAACAAAACAACCAATTAACAAAAGAGCCACCCTAATATCAAAGCTGTGATCTGACTGCATAAAAAAAGGGAGGCGCATGTGATATCCTGCCAACTGAGGTAGGGTGCCTTAGATTCCTTGGACGGAGAATCGTTTACTTCCTTTTGAAAGAGGGCATCAATGGCCGACGCTTAAAGCGTGTGCTTCACGACGTCTCCAGACCACCGCTCAACATACATCGAGTTGGATCGAGTTGGATCGAGTCAGGACCTAAAATAAAGTTGAATAAAACCATGCTTGCAACACAATGCTACTTCCGACATTAATAAAGGTCGCAACAAGCGCGTTGTGTATCTTAACACAACGTTGAAAATTTCAGTTGCATTTGCTAAAAGAAATCGCAAGAGATCGAAACATATACACAAACATTACCTGTCCGGTGAGAAAGCTGTTGGTGGCGCCAGGGGTGCCAGTACCGTCTTAGCCACCGACAAGTATGTTACCTCCCTTGGTTGGCGGCTGACGAGTGCAGGTTATCGCACGTTCTTTCACGCGTTGTATGCATGGAATTGATACAAGCAAGAAGATTTATAGCACGAATTTAGCGTTATAAGTCGACGTAAACATCAGTTCCTCTTAAGCAGTAACCGTTTATAGAAACACTGTAAAATAAATTCCTTCTCGATCCGATAGCGCTTTTCAAAAACCCATTTGTAGTGATGACACTGTTGTTGCTTGACGAAATAGCTTGATTTCCATATTAGGATACCATCGAAATCGACAACAGCCCCCCCCGAAAAAAAAAATCACCGTTTTCCGTCAGGCAAGTTGTCAGCCGACGCGCGTTACATGATTCGATGCTTAAAACGCTGTACGCAATCGTAATGAGACGCTGTCGACCCGTCCTTTGAAATGCGTCTTACCTCAACATTCCTCTATTAGATCAATGTCCACGGCTCACGTGTCTGTTAACTAAGACCTCATGGGCTTCGTTTCTGGCATCTAATATTCTTTCAGGGGCGGGGGGATATGGTTTATTCATAACGATAATGCTAAGTCTCCTCCCGATTGTAGCCAAGCGATAGATAGGCAATTTTCTGGATCAGTGTGATATTGGAATAGATCGACTATCACCACGCAAAATCCACACCTTCGGTAGAAAGAGAAGAAGAAAAAAAATAGAGAAGGAAAAGGGAAACAGTGAACAGAGGAATAGAAGATTGAAAAAACAAAAAACAAAAAAAAAAAAAAAACAAAGAAAGGCGTTAAGTATTTTTCCCCCGGCGCGTTCGGCTTCGTCGCTGAAAAGCGAGTGAGAAAATGAAGTATTTACCAGTTTCGCCGTTTCAGAAAAACAGTAAATGGTTGGATCGAAGAAAAGGATTTCTTAATCGTAATTGGGTTTCGACGACGCAGTCGATTTCTTTTGATACATCTATTCATCTTCCGAGCACTGTGTTCCCATATAAATGAGTTTTTACATTATATTTATCTGTCTCGTTTTAGCGAGCTGTCAACCTGTATTCATATATATTTACCCACATGCATGTCCATATATATACAGTGTAACCCGGATATAAGAGACCCGGTTATAAGAGAAACCCGGGTATAAGAGAGATTTTCTCTGGTCCCAAATTAGAGCCTGTGTTAATGTATATAAAATAGACCAAACCCGGCTATAAGAGAGACCCGGATATAAGAGACTTATTCTCCGGTCCCGACAACCCTCTTATATCTGGGTTACAATGTATATATATATATATATATATATATATATATATATATATATATATAGTTATTTATATAAAAATATGATTCCTTCGCCACCTAAGAGTTCTCATAAGAATTTATCTCTCTCGTTTTAGCGAGCTGTCAACCTGTATTTATATATATTTACCCACATGCATGTCCATATATATATATATATATATATATATATATATATATATATATATATATATATATATATATATATATATATATATATATATATATGTGACGTCGTTCCCCGGTCGCAGCACCGACTGTGACGTTCTATCCTGATCTACCACGGCGCCAGTTGTGACGTCCCCAAACAGCACCATTGTGACGTCCTCGCCGCGGCGCCAGCTGTTCGCTCCTCGCTGCTCCGTTCGGGTGTCGCTGCTCCAAACGTGACGTACGCCTGTCGCGTCAGTCGTGTTGTCTCGTCCTGTGACGACCAACTGGCTTGGTATCGGTCGCGGCACCCAAATGTGACGTTTTAACCTTTTGGTGATTCGGGTGGGAATCTGGTTAGATTTGATATCAGCCTCGTCGTTCCCAACTCGCTTCCAACGCCTGGTTACCAAGGTAACTGCATTGATCTCCAGTCTGCCTACCCACGTTGTGAATTGATCATAGACAGACGAGATCAAATAGTGGTTGGGGCCGTAATGCAAACTGAGTTCAACGGGGGTGATACTACACAAATATGCATAAAAGAAAATAAAATGAAAACTCAAAAAGTTCAAAGTATCAAAGAAAAAGGTAACAAACTTTATGTCTAGTTGTTCGATACATAGGACTGCATCTAAGTCCCGACCCGTTCTGTGGATTGTGACACGTCGTTTCCGCTAGGTAAGTTTTAACGCTTCAAGTTGTTTGCTCTCTAAGAAATTGGTGTTTCGGTGTGTCTTTGGACGAAAGTCGAAAAACTTATTTCGGTGGTCTGGTTCTAAGTCGCTCTTCAAAATAATTGTTTTTTGGGTTGAAGAGGAGTCCTAAATTTGCGTGAATCTTGGTCAGCTATCTCGAGGCGGCTTCAACTCTGGAAACTCAACTCTCCGCTGGAGCCCGAACTGATTTCTGCCTGTTGGGGCCTCGCCTTTATTGACGCCGACCAAAACCGGGCTGGGTCTGTTGGCGTCGGGGGGGGGGGTTCCTCGATTATTCTAAATACATATCCACCTCTTTTATTTCTGGTTAGGGATTTTCCACTCTTTTCCATTTTTGGGAACCTTCCCTCACTCCCACTTTCTCACCATACCTCTGAGGGGCGTGAACTGCCCTCCCCACTTCTTCGTAGCAGCTTCTCATACTTATACTCTGGATGGGGCGTCGACAGCCTTCTTCGTGCGTCACGTGATCCCCACTCGGCCAATGAGGTCTTGGTCGGGTATCTTTCCTCCCTCTTCGTGCGTCACGTGATCGCCACTTGACCAATGATGTCTTAGTCGGGCGTGAACAATCCGTGGCTTTGTTTCGGGAAAAAAAATATCTTGCTTAACTAAAAAAAAATTATCTCTTCTCTTTCCCTTTTCTTCCTTTCAATCGCCGTTATCACCCTTCTAGTCGCAACGGACAATATGAAAACTCTTGTTTTACACGTGGTGTTTGTCAGGTATTTTATCGCTAATTTATCAAGATGGGTGGTCTTCTTAACATGGCTTCAAAAAGAAATATCCCCAAAGTTTTCAGTCAGTCTGTCGCCTCCAAGGAAGAAAGAAAACACTTCTGGGTCCCCATTCATTTTCCTTCGGTACATATTGCTGATAACATAATTTTATTATCGCAGGCCAAAGTTGTTTCGTCGAAAAAATTCGGTCAGCGGCACTGCTTGTGGCATTTAATTTTTCATATCTGTCCAAAGTCCTTTTTAGTGGCCTGTTTCTCGTCACTTATCGAAATAGCATTTTCACTTGAATTTTCCCTGGCCAGTGGTCCAACCGTTCGTTTACGCACCTAGATAACACAGCCGTTATCAAAACACATCTGATTCCTTCTTTCTTTCCCCTTTTTTTTTTACTCAGAAATTCCTTGTCATTGTAATGACACCCTTTTTCATTTGTTACTTATCAATATTTTCATTGTCTGTTAGCCGTGTGTGTTGCTGCTTATCACCTACGATTCGTCTCGCCTTTCTTTCTGCCTTCTTTTCTTTCTCTTCCTTTCTCTGCTTCGTAAATGGTGCTACATATATATATATATATATATATATATATATATATATATATATATATATAAAATTATTTATTTAAAAATATGATTCCTTCGCTACCTAATAGTTCTCATAAGAATTTTGAAACATGAGAACTCTTATGTAGCGAAGGAATCATATTTTTAAATAAATAATTATACTTATGCTCTACTTTTGTATCGCGCACCGTTTTTTGTTTTTTTAAAAATAAGAACAAAAATAATAAAGAACTTTGGATTATTTACCTAAGAATTTAGAGAACGCTATTTTCATACTGTTAACTGAAATTAGCTCAATTATTGTCACAGTTGATTGTATCAAAATAGCGTTCTCTAAATTCTTCCAGTTGCTAAAGGCATTTTGTTTTGTTGCTATTAGTTACTTTGTTTTAATAAATTCATTTCGTATTTGCCTTGAAAATGTCCACATTGTACGAAACGCGACGGCTACCATTACAATTTTCCTATTGTCTTTTATATATATATATATATATATATATATATATATATATATATATATATATATATTTACCAATTTGTGACTGGTAGGGATAATTCCAAGGAAGATAATATCCCAGAGAGAGCTCAATGTAAACTATAGATTAACTGAAGAAAGGGAAAGCAAGAGAGAAGAGAAGAAAGAGGGAGAATAGAAAGAAAAATAACAGTTTTTCGAATATAAAATTATTTTTGA